GATTTCATTAGGGTGTGGAATTACTGCCGGTCCCAAAGGCTCCGAGGATGTCATCCAATATCCTAAATGCTGGTGCGGCCACAGCAGTGACAGCTCCCCATCAGCTCCCTAATACCGACTAATCTTTTGGAAAAAATACCTTAATCTGAGGCCGTGTCCAGGGATGATTGTGGCGTGGCCGCCCCTAATCCGCAGGCACGTTCGCAGGTGCCGGCAGATCTCCCTGGATCAGATATTAAACCGTGTTTCCAGGGGGGCTTAGCTGCCATCAGAGCATTAATCACTGTGTCTGGCCCTGGCAGAGAGCCCACCAGGCAGGTGTCCGGGTCCCCAGGGCCTGCTGTGGGTGTCCCCTCCCCGCTGTGGGTGCACTGAGCTGGCTCTGCTCTCTGTCCCACAGCACCTGAGAAACCCCTGGGCTCAGTGTTGAGGGGTGCTCCCTCCCTACCTCCAGAATCTGGGCAGCATGGTTTGGGAGCACTGTGCATCCCTCACTGTGCAGGCACAGGAAGGTTTGGACAGGAGACGCAGAGGGAGAGGGAAGATTCACATATCTGTGATGTCTTAGATGCCACATCAATATTTCTCCTACCAACAGATACCTCCCAACACGCAGGAACACACAGTGTTATTTATTCTCAGAATAAAAGGACAGGAATTTCCTAGAAGAGGGATGGCAGGAGCTCATGCCCCTCTCCCTACTGGGGTGGTTGGAGTCCACAGCCATTCCCTCTCCTGTTCTGCAGCTCTGGGATTTCCAACCCAAGATTCATTTCAGGAGCAAGAAGCAAAGGACGAGCCTGAGGAGTGCAGCAGGAACAGGCACAGATAGGACAAGATCTGTCCCAAATTAGCAGCTCCTGAAGAGGACAAAATCCTCCAGCATGAAGCCTGCAGTCCATGGTCACAGTTTCCCAAGGTCCCCTTCGAGGGTCCGCACCATCACATACAGCTCGGCCAGGCCCACCACCGAGGCCACAATGACAGCTGACAGGACACGCTGGGGACACAAAAGAGACAGAGAGGTGACCCTGGGTGTCCAGCAGACAGCACAGAGGGGCTCCAGGGGCTGGCTCACTCACTGCAGCTGTCTCTGCAAAGACGTACTGGCTGCCCAGGTAGGTGCAGGCAAAGGCGGCCACCACGGTGACAATGAAGTTGAAGATGGTGATGACAACGGCTTTCACGGAGCGAACTGGGGACACAGGGGTGGAGGAGCTGGTTTTAGGTAAGGCTGGACACAAGGTGTAATCATGCACAGCTGCCTCAGCTGTAGATGTAATCCTGGGGAGTCACACTCTTGGTGCCTCCAGAAATATTGGTGAGAATGACCAAGACGCTCCTTTATTCAAGGAACACTTCAGTGCATGGAAACCTCCTGGTGAGATATTCCGAGAGGGAAGGGCTGTCACCAGCTGGAGATGGAGCAGTTCCCATGCCTGACCTGCCACATGCCAACAGGACAGGGAGCCACTCACCTTGCCTCCCAAATTCAGCCAATGGCCCGTTCATCTCCTGAAAGAGGGAATTGAAACAGCTTGTGATCACTTGTATTTTCATGTTAATATGTTAATGTTATTACTGTGTGTGCAGAATAAAAGCAATGCCAATGCCCTGTCCCGTCCACAAGACTCTGAGGTTTTGGGTGGGTGGGCTGTGGGGGAGCAGCAGCTTCACAGCACAAAGGTTTCTCCGAGATTTTGCACAAGCTCTGCTAAAACCACCCTGGATTATAGATCACACATGGCTTGTCTTGGAAGGGGACCTTAAATACCATCTTCTTCTAGCCCCTGCCATGAGCAGGGACACCTTTCACTAAACCGGGTCAAACCTGGAGGGGTCCAGCTTGGCAGAGAGCAAAGCAGATCCTCCCATGAGAGTTAATGTGCACCTGGATGCCAGGTACAGTGTGGAAGGGCAGAATGGGATCCCAAGGGATGCCAGCAGGAAGGAATGCTGACTTGTCTGAACAGCCACCCTGCCAGATCTCAGCTCTCTCAGGAAAGAATGAGTGCCCACATATAATCTTGTAT